TTCCACGTTATTCTAAAATCAATAAAGAAATATCAAAACCCTAATATCTTTCTCTATTCTCTTGGAGTCCGGAAATGCTAAAAGTTTTCCATCTTTTCTATCTCATCTTCTTGGAGCTTGAAGAACGCTCGAAGTTCTTCCCTATCCGATACGATATTCGTATCAATTGGTGCTCTCATTCTCGAATTCATAAAAAAAATCGTTCACTGCCCATTTGCCGATCCAGAACTTTGCAGCCGGTGCTACCTCCACACTGATACATTTTGATAATAACTTGTCTTATTGAATATTGAGAGATATGGCCCTATATATAGGGAATACAAGAGTAATCAAAGTACAAGTAGGAAAGGAAAGAATAATCCTAGTAGGAAAGGAAAGAAGTATCCTAATTTAATTATACTTCCTAATATCCTCCCGCAAGCTGATCAACGGAGACGAGGGGCAGCTTGGAACATAAGTACTCAAAAGGAATTGGCGGAAGCGGTTTGGTAAGAATGTCTGCTAGCTGCTCTGAGGAGGAAACATGATGTGGAGTCATAGTGCCTGCCATAACCTCATATCGTACAAAGTGACAGTCTGTGCCCACATGCTTCATGCGATCATGAAGAACCGGATTTTTGGTGGCACAGATAGTCGACTCATTGTCACAGTATAACTTCGGTTTGGACGGAGGAATACCCAGTGCATCAGTGATATATTGAAGCCACATAGCTTCTGCAACCCCTGCAGCCATAGCTCGATATTCAGCTTCAGTGGATGATCTAGAAACACGAGTCTGCTTTTTCGTGCACCAAGAGATGATATTAGGACCGAGTAGGAGTATGTAGCCCGTGGTAGACTTGCGATCATCTTTATCATTGGCCCAGTCAGAGTCAGAGCAGACAGATAGGTCGAATCCCCCCTTGCAAAAAAGAAGACCATGATTCAAAGTGTTTTTGAGGTAGCGCAGAACGCGTTGCAAGGCATGATAGTCCTGCTCAGTGGGGTTGTGCATAGTCTGAGACACTCGATTAACAGCATACTGAATGTGTGGACGAGTGACAGCCAAGTAATGTAAACCGCCCTCCGAAAATGAGAAATATCCTTGAAAGGCAACGAAGGCTTAGTGATAGGTCTCGTAGCCATAGGAGTAATAGCCGGATGACAGTCGGACATCCCAGCTCGGCGTAGAAGATCACGGGCATATTTGGATTGATGGAGAAGTATAGAATCTTGCGTTCGCTGAACCTCAATGCCAAGGAAGTAATGAAGAGGTCCTAGTTCTTTGAGCTTGAAGTCACGGTGCATGGCCTGAGTAACTTCTGAGATGAGAGTAGAAGAGCTGCCAGTGAGAACAATATCATCAACATAGACAAGGACAACAATAGTCCCACGAGAGCAGTGTCTGGTGAACAAGCTGGTATCATGAATGCAGCACTTGAAAACAAGGCCCTCCAAAAAAGAGGAGAGGCGTGTGTACCATGCACGAGGTGCCTGTTTGAGACCATATAGTGATTTGCGGAGCTTGCAAACATAGTGAGGATGAGTGGGATTTATGTACCCCGGGGGCTGCTCTATATAAATTTCCTTGTCCACTGTACCGTGAAGAAAGGCATTGCTAACATCTAGTTGATGAAGAGGCCAATCACGGTTGAGTGCTAAAGAGAGGACCAGGCGCACTGTTTGTTGCTTGACCACAGGACTGAATGTCTCCTTGTAATCAATGTCATACTCCTGATGATAACCTTTTGCGACAAGACGAGCCTT